CCAGGGCAGCATCTGTTAACTGAAATATGTCAATTAGTATACCATCTATTCCTGGAGCCTTATTTTTTGCCATTTCCTTCAAAGTAGCCTGAACTTCTTCTTTCATCACCATAGGCTCTTGCTCATATGTTGTTTCATGAAATTCTTCTGTGTTGTCCAAGAGGCTATTCTTTGGAAAGGAATATCATCTTGGAAAATATAGATTGTCAGCGAAAGAGAGGAAAACACATCCCTAACAAGGTGATTTGACATCATGGCTGCCACAGTGGTCTCAAGTGTATCAGAGATGAGGATGGCAACATGATTGGTTGGGATTCAGGTCTGTTGTTCACAAGGTGCTAAGAATCGTATGCAACTCGACAGCATCGAACAACAACAAAGATTGCTCATATTAATGAGATGATGTAATAATTGAGCTTTGGTGGTGTTGTCTCTAGGGAGTTGTGATGGTTTGGATCTGCCAGTGGCTCCTCAGGAGAAAGTTAGTCAAAATCCTCTCATGTGAATACACCCTTGGAAACTTTCTGGAGGATCAGCTATGAGTCAGTTCCAACTTGACTGCAATGAGCGGAGATACAGTATTTATCCTTTTGTGATTTACTTATTTTACTCACTGCACTGATTTCATGGTTCACTCATGTTATATAATGTATGTGGACTTCATTTTTCCTTCATGTCTCATATACTTTGGGCATATTACTAGGAGGGACAAGTCCCTGGAGAGGGTCATCAGGCTTGCAGGGGTGGAGGGACAGCACAGGAAAGAAGACCCTAGATGTGATGAGTTTACTCAATAACGTAGGTAGGTATGTTGGAGACAGTAAGATTGTTTAAATATAGGGCACAGCTACTGTAGATGGATCTTGGCAGAAAGCAGAGAGTACCAGAAGAACATCTATCTGCGTTTCATTGACTATGAAAAGGCATTTGACTGTGGATCACAACAAACTGTGGCTAACCTTGAGGAAAATGGAAATCCCAGAACACTTGATTGTGCTTATGTGAAACCTGTACTTGGACCAGGAAGCAGTCCTCAGAACAGAGCAAGGAAACACTGCATAGTTCAAAATCAGGAAAAGAGTGAGTCAGGGATGTGTCCTGTCCCCATATCTTTTCAATCTCTATGCAGAACAGATCATTCGGGAAGCAGGGCTTTATAAGGAGGAGTGTGGCATCACGATTAGAAGAAGATTCACAAATAATCCACAATATGCAGATGACACAACCTTGCTTGCTGAAACTGAAAAAGACCTGAAGCACTTGCTGCACAAGGTCAGGTACCGTAGTCTTCACTATGGATTGAAGCTCAACATCAAGAAGACAGTGATTCTCACCACTGGGCCAAGTGGCAGCACCATGATAAATGGAGAAGGAGACTGAGGTTGTTAGCAATTACAGCTTGCTTGGATCCACAATCAGCACTCTTAACACCAGCAGTCAGGAAATGAAAAGATGAATTGCATTGGAAAAATCTATTATCAGGAATGTCACCAGAGTGCTGAAAAGCAAAGATGTCAGTCTAGAGACAAAGGTGTGCCTAATCCAGACCTTGGTCTTCGCAATTATTTGTTATGCTTCAGAGAGCTGAACAATGACTAAGGATGACAAAAGAAGAATCAATGCCTTCGAATTGTGGTGCTGGAGAAGGATCTTGAAACACCTTGGACTGCCAAGAAAACAAATAGGTTTGTCTTGGAGAGAGTGAAACGAAGTTTCTCCTTGGAGGCTAGGATTTTGAAGCTCCATCTCACATACTTTGGGCACGTGGCAGGAGAGACTGATTCTTGGAGAAGGACATCATGCTAGGAAGGGTGGAGGGACAGTGCAGGAAAGGAAGACCCCAGATGAGATGGATTGCTAACAGTATCTGGGGCAGTGGGGGTTCTTGTGTTGGAATTAGTGAGATTGGCTCAGGACAGGGAAGGGTTCAGAGCTGCTGTACATAGGGTTGCTTGCTATAGGTTGCAGGCAACTCAGTGGCACCAAACAACAACAACATACTATATTGGTTGTTTTTTTATTTTAAGCCTCTTGTTTAGAGTGAACAAGATCTTGGGGAGGGCCTTTGTATTTAAAAGTTGGTTATTATATTTTGGAAGAACACTCTTCTAAGTGGTACAGCATTCTACTGTCAATATGCTGTATTGAGGTAACCTGGGGTTGCTGGGATGCTGAACCTTGTGCCATTGCAGTTTCAAATGACATATTGGTTACTCATGGTGGACAGTGTTTGGTTGAGCTTCCAGTTTAAGACAGGTTTAGAAGCAGGAGTGACATCCATTTCTAAACAACATGCCTCTGGAAACTCAGTGAATTTTGAGAAACGATAGTTATCGAAAGGCTTCAGGTCTTTTGTTTTGTGAGGCGTAAATTACTAATGCACATAGAGCACTGTGCATGAGAGTAAAGTGCACATCAGTTGGTTACTGGTATCCAGAACCTTACTATGCATATGTGGGCACACAGTCATATCACTGGTAGGAACCTTCCTTAAGGAACTGATCAGAAATGCAGAGAAAGTACCATAGTTTATACTAGTAAAAACGTAAGAAATTAATTTTTTACAGTTAGAGAATCCTTACAATTATATGTTGTGTGTTTCCATGATGCATGATTATTCAGCCCTTAGGAAAGGATAAACATTCTTTTTGTGTGTGTGTGAGTTTTTCTTTTTTTATTAATTTTAATAAACATTTACAGAGATTCTGGATTTCCATTCATTCATTGCTGCACTTTTCTCCCTGCCCACCCCTCCCCACCAGTTCGCTCCTCTCTTTGAAAAGGAAAAAAAAATCCTTTATTGGTATACATTCCCCCATCCCTTTCCCCTTCCTCCTACACTGAGTACACTTCTCTATGCAACCTTAATTCTGGACTTATGTGCTAACCATAATACTCAATCATATATTGCCTCTAATCTGTTCTTTCCCTCATCTGTTTCAATACAGTATACATAATTTATCCAGTTTTTTCTCAGTCTTACCCCAACCCTAATGCCAGTCCTATTCTACAACAGTGGCACCATGCAGTATTTGTCCCTTTGTGACTGAGATATTTCACTCAGCATAATGTCCTCCAGGGTCACCTATTTTGATTAATATTGCATGAATTCCTTGTTTTTCAATGTGGCGTAGTATTCCGTTGTGTGAATATACCACAGCTTCTCTATCCATTCATTTGTTGATGGGCACTTAAGTTGCTTCCAGCTCTTTGCTATTGTAAACAAAGCTGCGATAAACATGGGTGTGCATATATCTGCTTGGATGGCAGTTATGGTCTCTCTGGGGTATATTCCCAGTAATGGGATTGCTGGGTCAAATGGTATCTCTATTTGCAACTTTTTGAGAAAGTGCCACACCGCTTTCCACAATGGTTGCACCATTTTACATTCCCACCAACAGTGAATAAGAGTTCCAGTTTTTCCACATCCTCGCCAGCATTTGTTGCTTGCTGTTCTGTTAAATTTTGCTATTCTGACTGGGGTGAGATGATATCTCCTAGTTGTTTTGAAGTTATAAACACTCTTAAGACAAGAGAAAGTACCTTTGTCATTTAAAAGAAATGTGTGGATTAGCAAATTCAGGTCTAGTTGTTAATGTTAGCCTTGAAAGACACTGATATGTAGAAGAGAAAGTAAATAGTTTCTTTAGATTTCCTGGCGTAACAGAATGGACAAAAGTCTGACAAGGCATTCTGCCACCAACACAGAAACTGAAAAGTGTACATCACTGTGTGGTTAGTGATACTAACCAAAACTAGAGTTAGGATAGAAATATATTTAATGTTTTCTAGGAGTTAATAATATATTTGGACGCTGGATTAAACCACAGCCCAATGTATTTACTTTTTTTACAACAGATTCACAAGAATAAAGCTTCCCCCCCCCAAAAAAAAGAATAAAGCTTCCCAATGGTAAAATGAGAAACTACAGCATTTGATTGTTTGATTAAATATGTATGGGAGAATGTCTGTAAAGCTTATGAATGGCATATTTACTTTCTTTTGATTCAACCCTGACAAAGAACTGTTTATATATGTATTTATATGCAGTACAAAAATCTCCAGTACTGTGGGAAAAAAGAACAGTTACGGTCTTTTGAAAAAAAGAAGCAAATGTTATAATTTTTCCTGAAAATGTGATTGACGGTGATTTTTATTTTTTTGTGTCTCTTCAAAAGTTGTTTAATGGTATTTCTCTGTAATATGTAACTATATGAGAGCAATCATTTAATAAAAACAAAATCAGGATGTTTAATTATACAATTTCCTCCCCTCTGCCTCATTATAAATCTATGTTTTTTAATTGTGGAGGTGCCAATGAAGTTCCAGTAGGCCCTTATTTGTTGCTCCAAAATTTTCTTCCTCTCAAAACTGGAAAACTTAATCTGGAATGCAGGCACATGAATTTAGTGCCAGACCATTAGTATGGATGATTGTTTTTCCCATCTTGCTCATTAGTGGCCTCTTGGTAAAAAGAGCCCAGGTTTTAGGATATACTTTACATGTCATATGAAGGAGAAAACAGAGTGTAGAATTTATTGCCACATTTCAGATATTTTCTTTTTTTTTTTTCTTTTAGGAGACAGACAAGAGAATGGCCAAGAGAACCTCAACTTGGAAACCTACTGGAACCAGGAACCTCCAGATGCCCCTTGTCACATCTCAGAAAAGGCCCCTCCTCAGGGTTCTTTGAATGACATCTTTGGTGATGCTGAACAAAGATGCTTTGGAAAAGGTCATTATCTCCCTAAGGTACAGGGACACCTTCAAGATGAGGAGAGACGGGAACCGCTTACTCCTCAGGAAAAGGTTTCTGGGGAACAGTTGTACCAGTATTTGCATGATTCTCACCCAAGAAGTCTGTCTGGGTTGTTGCTCAAGCAGAAACAAGAGGCCCCCCAGAAGGACCAGCTGAGACCTCCTATGACCCAGAAATTCTTCACCTGCAGAGAGTGTGGGAAAACCTTCTATAGGAACTCTCAGCTTGCATTTCACCAGAGAACTCATACTGGAAAGACATATTTTCAGTGCCCCACTTGCAAGAAAGTCTTTCAGCAGAGTTCAGACTTTGTGAAGCATCAGAGAATTCACACCGGGGAGAAGTCTTGGAAGTGTGATCACTGTGGGACAAGCTTCAGGGACTTTTCTGGATTACGTCACCATGAGAAAATCCACATGGGACAGAAAGCATATAAGTGTCCTTTCTGTGACAAGAGATTTGGCAGTAGGTCCACCTTAAATGGACACCAGCTGGTCCACAAAGGAGAGAAGCCCTATAAATGTCCTCTCTGTGAAAATAGTTTTGGCAGCAGGTTAGCCTTAAATATACATGAGCGGGTCCACACAGTAGAGAAGCCGTATAAATGTCCTCTTTGTGAAAAGAGTTTTGGCCACAGATCTGCCTTAAAGATACATGAGCGTGTCCACACAGGAGAGAAGCCCTATAAATGCCCTCTCTGTGAAAAAAGTTTTTGTCGGAGATTCACCTTAACTGTACACAAGCGGGTCCATACAGGAGAGAAACCCTATAAATGTTCTCTGTGTGAAAAGAGTTTTCGCCTCAGATCCACCTTCAATATACATAGGCGGGTCCACACAGGAGAGAAACCCTATAAATGTCTTCTCTGTGAAAAGAGTTTTACTCAGTCGGCCCATTTTAATAGACACCAGCGAGTTCACACAGGGGAAAAACCCTATAAATGTTCTCTCTGTGAAAAGAGTTTCACTCAGATAGCGCACTTTAATAGACACCAGTCGGTCCACACTGGGGAAAAACCCTATAAATGTCCTCTCTGTGAAAAGAGGTTTGGGAACAGGTCCTACTTAAATAGACACCAGCGAATCCACACAGGATAGAACCTCTATAAATGTCCTCTCTGAAAAGTGTTTCATTGAGAGGTCCAAATTTAATAGATATCTGCAAGTCTACAAAGGAAAGAAACTGTTAAGTGTTCTCTCTGTGAAAAGAGTTTCATTCTGAGATATGATTTTATTTTTCTTTTATTTTATTATTTTGTGTGTGCATACTGTCAAATCGGATCTGACTGGTACAGGAGAAGATTGTCCCTCTTTCTCCAGCAGAGCATCTGGTGGATTTGAACCTTGTACCTCTGGGATTGCAGTGCAGCTTGCCACTAGGCCACCAGAGCTCTCTTGAGGTATGATTTTAATAGACACCAGCAGATGCACACGAGAGAGAAACCCTACAGATGTCCTGAGAAGTTTCATTGACAGCTCAAGCTTTTTTAGAGACCACTGGATCCACACAGGAAAGAAATCCTATATATGTCTCATTTGTGAATAGAATTGTGTAAGTCCTACTCTACTAAACATCAGAGGTCCATATAAGTCTTATAAATTTTCCTGCTTTGGGTAAAGTTTCAACAGGAGCTGAAGTTTTGACAGACACCAGAGATCCCATTGGAGGAGGAAATCTTCTCCATAGCCAGACTCAGCCCTTGTTTGTGTCTGTGCAGTGGCAAATACTGAACTTTTGGATCACCTGCATGATTTCATCTGTTGTACCTACATCTATTTTCATCAGTTGAAAAAGAAGAATCTGTGGTTGGTTTTGAACTTGAAATTTATATTTAGCTCTTGGAGTGAACTTCATTCTTGCTTCTTGTCTTCTAACAGAGCAGCTGTAATTACTATTCTCAGTAATAATATCAGCTCAGCCCTTTATCAGTAGGATTCCAGAGCATGTCTTGCTGATAGAGAGTTCAAGCAGATAGGACTAAGGCCCTCGTGTGCTTTTATATATGTGGATACAATGTGAACTTGATGTGCCCTTTCTTCAAATAAACTGCGTAGATTCACTCTTCATCTCACTTGTATCTGAAATGTTGATTCATATTGAAAATGTGTTTTTTTACAGAAGACCCAAGGTGAGAAATGAACTCCCTGAGCATGTAGCCAGAGTCCTCCATAAATGTGGTCACTAAGAATATTTCTCCAATGCACTCCTTAAATATGGGTAATACAAAGAACTAGCCATTTCTGACCTCAGTTAACTCCACAAAGGGAATGTGTCCCCATCAACAGTATCTAGAACATAAAACAATTTCCCAAGAGGACCAACATACCCACATGCCACTACACTTACTTTTAATTCCATAATGAAGCCTGCTACTCTCCAGGGTCTGAATCCATGGCAAACTACCCACATTTCACACAGCCATATTCACCGTTATAGGGCTTATTAGGGAAGTTAGTATGTTTCTGCTATGGGAAATGCTTCAGCAAGAGCTCAAATTTTGATGGACATCAGAGATCCCATCTGAGGAAGAAGTCCTCTCCAGAGCCAGATTCTTTAAACCCTCGTTGGTATGTCAGTCCAGTCAGTATGTTAGACAAATACTGAACTTTTGAAATCACCTGCAGAATTACTTCTGTTCTATATTACTTATGTTCTGTGCATTTTCATAGATTGAGAAAGGAGAAACTACAGTTGTTTTTGAAATTGAAAGTTAGTTTCGGCTCTTGGGGTGAACTTCATGCTTGCTTAATGCCTTCTAATAGAACTACCATAATTACTGTTCAAATGAATAACATCAGTGCAGTTCTTTCTCACTAGGATTCCAGAGCATGTCTTTATGATACAGAGCTCAAGCCGATTAAAAATGACCAGGGAGCTGATGTGTGCTCTTTGACATGTGGGTAGAATGTGGATTTGAGGTGCCGTTTGGTTTAATAAACTCAGTAGATTCACTCATCTCTTTTGTGTTTCAAATATTCACCCACTCTTGATTGACACTGAAAATGTGTTTTTTCACAGAGGATGTGCCAAAAGAGAGTTGCATGCCCTGGTGAGCCTGTAGTTGGCCTAAACCCTAAATGTGGTCACTAGGAAAATGTCTCCAGTGCACTCATTAAATGTGGGTAGTGCAAAGTACAAGGCTAGCATGGGGACGAACGGCCAGTTCTGACCTCGATTACAGTGGATGAGTGTCCCCATCAAGAGTATCCATGACACAAAAGTAATTCCTGAGGTCTGATATGCCTGCCATCCTCCTGCACTTACTTCTAATTCCAACACCAGTCCTACTGTTCTCCAATGTTTCAAGTCCATTGCAACAGCTACACCCACTTCACAAAATCATACAGTTATGGGGTTTAATAGGTAAGTTAGTGGGTTCCAACTTACATTTGGCAATAGGATATAATTTCTTTGCCATATCAACTTGTAAAGTGTGCCTGTAGGCCCTTCAGCATTACAGCTTTAGGCCAGTGCTTAAAAGCTCTCTCAGTGCTGCCAATTACATATCTGCCTATCCAGACTGCCAGAGTCTTGGATGTAGGCCCCTGATATTGACTGAATGGGGCAGCAGTCTTAGGTTATCTGTTTCACATTGGGTCTATAGATTCAAGACAGGAAGGTCTTCGACCAGATAAAGTCACACAGTTAATGGGGAAATGGACTAAAGGATGTTAGAGATAATGAATATGTCACAGGATAGGACAAGATTCAGATCTGTTGTTCATAGGATTGTTATGAATCATACTTAATGGCTTCTAAAAACAACAAAACAGCCAGGAGTGGAGAACATACTTGACATATGAATCCTGTATTGAGAACCTCATAGGTCTGAGACAGAGTGGCCAAAGCACAGGTCCATTGCCAAGGAATGCCTGGCTCACACATATTAAAAAGGGATGAGATCTTTTCCCCAGAGTTGACAGAGAGGAGCCCCTTCTTATGCAGCTAGTGCCCTGATTGCAGACTTCTAGATTTCTAAACTGGGACAGTATAAATTTCTGTTCCTTAAAGCCATCCACGAGACTTTGCTCTAACTATGTTAAACATGTTCATCACCCCTGTGTTTCCTCTTGTACTTTTACAATCCCTCTTCTTGCCTTTCTCTGCCCTTCCTCTTTTCATTCTGGGCACCTACTGATCTGATTCCTGTCACCATAGATAAGTTTGCATTTTCTAGAATTTTATATAAAATGGAATCATACCATTAATCGCTTTGTTCTGCACATGATCCGTTCCTGTTGCTTTGTTAGCTATTTTATCACTTTCTTACTGGTTTTAAAGTTGGATTACAATGGACCTGGAAGTAATTTTATTTATGTACCTTGTGCCCAGGTTTCATTCAGCTTGGATGTGAGTTTCTAGTTCTCAGGAGATTTGAAACATTTTTTGGCCTTCATTTGTTGCAGGAGCTGCAGATGTTGATGTATTAAGAAACATAATTGGTATTGAGTAAGTGTGGCAGAATTTGATTGGATAAATAAAGTTAAGTTTTAGCCAATAAGAATATGTTAAAGTGTTAGTTATAAACTAATGGGAATATTGAGTTAATAGCCAATAGGAATAGTTAATAGAGTAAGAGCCAATAGGAATTAGTATAAAAGTTATCCAGGTAAAAGGTATATAAGGGGCTGAGAGGAGTAAGTAGGGGCGGCTGCCGCCATTACCAAAATAAAGAAGTATCAAGCTGCAGCGAATCCCAGTGTCGTGTTTTCCCTTTATCCCGCGGGCGGGGCGGGGCTGGAAAGCAACATCGACATCTGGTGGCCCATACGGGGACCCGGAGGACAACAAAGTCAAAGCTGCAGGTGAGTGACTAGTCAATTAAGTCCCGGAAAGAGAAGGACCAATTCACAAAAAGGGGAGGTATGGGTAATACCGGATGTAAAGGGAGAGTTGAAGAAGTTTTGTGCCGGCTGTTAAAAGCCCGAGGATTAAAACGGAAACAAAAAAACTTTGAATACCTTTTTTGAAACTGTAGAGGAAGTGGCTCCCTGGTTCCTCGATACAGGACATTTAACTTTGGGGTCTTGGGAGAAATTAGGCAAGGATTTACAAAGGGTGGAAAAAGAGAAAGCTCTGCCTCCTGGGGTGATTGGATTATGGGCGATAGTTCAGACTTGTCTTGATAGCCCCAGCGATTGCTTTAAGTCTCCTATTCAAGAGGCAGAGGAAGTTCTCAAGGAGCTTAAAGAAGTATGATCAGCCACCAAAAAGGGAAGTGAGACCAGTAGTTCAGAATCAGAGGAGGGGGAGGACCAAGAAGTGGTAGCAATTACAAAAGCCTTGAGTAAGATCGCTAAACCATCAGACACTCCTCCGCCTGTAACTCCGCCTGCTCCTCCACCACCAACTGCTCCCTCCCTTTCCGGGTTTAAGGAGGAAGCTGCCAGTCATCACTACCCAGAGGTATGGGCTCGAGCCCCTCCCATCATGGGTGCGTTTCCTGTTTTTGCAGATGCACAAGGGGCTAGAGTTCATGAGCCATTAGAGTGGAAAATAGTGCAGAGATTAGCAGAGGCAGTAAAGACTTACGGACACAATGCTGCATTTACCATGGCTCAAGTAGAGACACTTCACAGATATTGCATGACCCCTGGGGACTGGCAAAGTCTTGCAAGAACCTGTCTACCCCCTGGCCAATATCTAGATTGGAAATCCATTGTTATTGAATTTGCGGTAACACAAGCAGCCACTAATATTAGGCAAGGACAGCCCGCATGGGATTCTGATATGTTGCTAGGTCAAGGAAGATTTGCAAACCAACAGACTGGCTATCCGCAAGCCGTCTATGACCAAGTCAATAATATATGTACTCGAGCATGGAAGACTCTTCCGTGCCGACGGAAGGCTGGTGATAACTTGTCTAAAATTACCCAGGGACCTAGTGAGGCTTTTTCTGATTTCGTTGCCCATATTGTGGAAGCTGCTGGAAGAGTGTTTGGAGATCCTCACATGGCTATGCCGCTAATCAAACAACTGGTTTTTGAGCAATGTAATTCAGAATGCAGGAGAACAATAACTCCTTATAAAGGAAAAGGGTTAGAAGTTTGGCTAAAATTATGTAGGGACATCGGAGGCCCACTGTCAAATTCAGGCC